ACAGTAAAGGTAGCAGTTTAACAACCTATAAGCTAATATGAAGGTCAAATGACAAAAGTACTAAAATTATCTATTTCCATGATAAGAGGGTATTGGAAAAGCCACAAATATGTGGAGATAACACAAAATGCTACTGAACAACAATTGGGTCAATGAAGAAATCAAAGGAGAAATTAAAAAAATACCTTGAGACAAAAGAAAATGAAAATATGACATGCCAAAATTTATGGGATACAGCAAAAGTGGTTCTAAGAGAGAAGTTTATAGCACAACAGGCCTACCTCAACAAACAAGAAAAATCTCAAATAAACAATCTAACAGTGCACCTAAAGGATCTAGAAAAAGAAGAATAAACAAAGCCCCAAATCAATAGAAGGAAGGAAATAATAAAAATCAGAACAGAAATAAATGAAAGAGACTAAAACAAAATACAGAAAAAAACCAATGAAATAAAGAGCCAGTTCTTTGAAAAGATAAACAAAATTGACAAACCTTTAATTAGACTCACCAAGAAAAAAAGAAAGAAGGTTCAAATAAATAAAATCAGAAATGAAAGAGGAGAAATTACAACAGACACTTCAAAAACAGAAAAGATTACTAAAAGCTATACACCAACAAATTGGATAATCTAGAAGAAATGGATAAAGGTTTACAATCATACAACCTTCCAAAACTGAATCAAGAAGAAATAGAGAATTTGAATAGAACAATCCCCAGGAGGGAGATCGAAAGAGTAATCAAAAACCTCCCAAAAAATAAGAGTCTAGGACCAGATGGCTTACCTGCTGAATTCTACCAAACATTCAAAGAAGACTTAATACCTATCCTTCTCAAACTCTTCCAAAAAACTGAAGAGGAGGGGAAGCTTCCTAACTCATTCTACAAGGCCAACATCACCCGGACACCAAAACCTGACAAGGACAACACAGAAAAAGAAAATAAAAGGCCAATATCCCCAGTAAACATCAATGCAAAAATCCTCAACAAAATACTAGCGAATGGAATACAGCAATACATTAAAAAGAGCATAGATCATGATCAGTGGGATTTATTCCAGGGATGCAGGGATGGTTTAATATCGGCAAATCAATCAACGTGATACACCACGTTAGCAAAATAAAAAATAAAAATCACATGATCATCTCAATAGATGCAGAGAAAGCATTTGACAAGATACAGCACCCATTTGTGATAAAAATTCTGAATAAAATGGGTATGGAAGAAAAGTACCTCAACATAATAAAGGCCATATATGACAAACCCAGAGCTAATATCATTCTCAATGCAGAAAAACTGAAAGCTATCCCTCTAAGAACAAGAACCAGACAAGGATGCCCACTGTCACCACTCTTATTTAACGTAGTATTGGAAGTCCTAGCCAGAGCAATCAGGCAAGAAAAGGAAATAAAAGGGATCCACATTGGAAAGGAAGAAGTGAAACTGTCACTATTTGCAAATGGCATAATTTTATAATAGAAAACCCTAAAGACTCCACCAAAAAGCTTTTAGAAATAATAAAGGAATACTGTAAAGTTGCAGGATACAAAATCAACATACAAAAATCAGTTGTGTTTCTGTACACTAACAACAAAGTAGCAGAAACAGAAATTAAGAATACAATCCCATTTACAATTGCAACAAAAAAATAAAATATCCAGGAATAAAAGTAACCAAAGAAGTGAAAGACCTGTACGCTGAAAACTGTAACACATTGTTGAAAGAAATTGAGGAAGACAGAAAGAAATGGAAAGATATTCCATGCTCTTGGATTGGAAGAATTAACACAAAATGTCTGCACTTCCTAAAGAAATCTACAGATTCAATGCAATCTCTATCAAAGTTCCAACGACATTTTTCACAGAAATAGAACAAGGAATCCTAAAATTTATATAGAACAACAAAAGATCCTGAATAGCCAAAGGATTCCTGAGAAAAAAAAACAAAGCTGGAGGTATCACACTCCCTGATTTCAAAATATACTGCAAAGTCATAGTAACCAAAACAGCATGGCACTGGCATAAAAACAGACACACAGATCAGTGGAACAGAATCGAGAACCCAGAAATAAACCTACACATCTATGAACAGCCAATTTTCAACAAGAGAGCCAAGAACGTACAATGGAGAAAGGAGAGTCTCCTCAATAAACGGTGTTGGGAAAACTGGACAGCCACATGCAAAAGAATGAAAGTAGACCATTATCTTACACCATACACAAAAATTAACTCAAAATGGATTAAAGACTTGAACGTAAGGCCTGAAACCATGAAACTTCTAGAAGAAAATATAGGCAGTACGCTCTTAGGCAGCAGTCTTAGCAGCATATTTTCAAGTACCGTGTCTGACCCGGCAAGGGAAACAACACATAAAATAAACAAATGGGACTATGTCAAACTAAAAAGCTTCTGCACAGCAAAGGAAACCATCAGCGAAACAAAAAGACAAGCTAACAATTGGGAGAAGCTATTTGCCCACCATATATCTGATATAGGGTTAATATGCAAAATATACATAGAATTCATACATCTCAACAACAAAAAACTAATAATCCAATAGAAAAATGGGCAAAAGATCTGAACAGACTTTTCTCCAAAGAAGATATACAGATGGCCAACAGGCACATGAAAAATACTCAACATCATTAACTATCAGGGAAATGCAAATCAAAACTACGAGATATCACCTCACGCTCATCAGAATGGTATAATTAATAAGACAGGAAACAAGTGTTGGCGAGGATATGGAGAAAAAGGAACCCCCATACACTGCTGGTGGGAGTGCAAACTGGTGCAGCCGCTATGGAAAACATTATGGACATTCCTCAAACAATTAAGAATAGAACTACCATACAATCCAGCTATTCCACTGCTGGGTATTTATTCAAAGAACATGAAAATATGAATACGTAAAGATATACACAGCTCTATGTTCATCACAGCATTATACACAATAGCCAAGGTTTGGAAGCAACCTAGGTGCCCATCAAAGGAGGAATGGATAAAGATGTGGTATATGTACACAATGGAATACTACTCAGCCATAAGAAATGATGAAATCTGGCCATTTGTGACAACATGGATGGACCTAGAGGGTATTATGTTAAGCGAAATAAGTCAGAAGGAGAAAGTCAAATACCATATGATCTCACTCATAAATAGAAGATAAAAACAAAAGCAAACAAATGCACAGAGACAGATTGGACTGGTGGTTACCAGGTGGGAAAGGGGGTGGGATGATGGCAAAAGGGGTAATTAGGCACATGTGTGTGGTGAAGGATGGTAATTAGTCGTTGGGTGGTGAACATGATGTAATCTACACAGAAATCAAAATATAATGAGGTACACCCAAAATTTGTACAATATTATAAACCATGAAGTAAAAAAAAAATTAAATTAATAAACAAAAAGGAAATCAATCAATCAGATAATCCCCTTCCCCATCCTAACCCTCACAGTAATGAGCCCTGCCAAGCATACATTTCTTCTCAAGTGGAGAGGGTAAGTTAATTAATTAGTTTACACATGCTCTAGGATGAAAAGCTATCCTGTTTTTAATTAATAGTAAGGAAAACCTGGCCTGATATTTTGGCTCAGGGTTTAAAACATGGACTTTTTCTATTGCCTTTCTTGCATTTTCTAAAAACTCAGGAGTTCTGAAGCAAACGCAGTGTAAGAGCCACGTGATCCCCTAAGATGCACCAGGAGGCTGCGGACGGTGCTCGGGGAGCAGGCCAAAACTAATGTGCGTACTTTTGTTTCTTCTTGGGGCGAAAGGGATGGGTTGTACAGAAGGATGAAGTTTAGCTGTCAAGAGGATGCCCTTTAATGACAAAGCCCGTGGGGGAAGTCTGAAGCCCTGTTTACACAAAAGTCATTTTCCCCCGTGTGTGACAGTCAATAAAGTAAACAGTTTCCATCTACATTTTAAATCAGCGAGGTGTGGATAAAGTTAAAGGATGAATACTGGTACGAACAGGAGAAACGCCACAACCAACTAAAGAACAGTAGCCTCTCCAAAGAGGCTTGGGGTTTTCAAAGATGAGGTGTTTTCTAGCTCATGACCAGCAGATGGCAGCATAACTCAAGGAAAGAGACCAGATTTGTCCACTCAGCTCGGTTTCAAAGGTTCCTAATCTTCCAAGGAGAAAAACACTCTTTTTATTCAATTTGCCGGGGGCGGGCAATTATGGGCTTCAAGTGACAGTGGTTGTACTTTTAGTATTCGTTGGTTAGAAAACATACATATGACAAGTTAAAATCAATTCATTGTAACTTTTAAAGGAATTTGTATTTTAATATCACACAAAAACACCCACACACAGTTGAAACATAGAAACACGGTAGAACATGTGTGCATGCAGGATATTTACATCCACTCCCAGACAATCCTCAGCATGCGTCTGCATTCCCAGACCCTTGTCAATAACTCCACGGTCCCCTGGGGTCCTGGGTCCGCAAGATGGGACCACAGATTTCACAAACGCTTGCTTCCTCCTTGCTGTACCCAGCACCTTGCTGACAGCTTCAGGAGGCTGAGAAAAGTGAAAAGAACAGAGTGGACCAAAAGTTCCCATTTTCTGCTTAGCTAAGTCTTAGAGCTCCTAAACCAGCCTGTCATAAATCACAAGGGCTCTGGCATTGCAATTAACTTTTTAATGCAGAAAACATCATGTAAAACAGGGCCTCTTGGAGTGGAGATTTTCCCAGTGAGATGATATTAGCAGTTGTCAAGGTTACAGGCTTGGAGCCCGAATGCCTGGTTGGGAGAGAGACATTTCTATTTATGTTGGCTGTGTGGTCTTGGGCAAGTGACTCCACCTCTCTGTTTCCCCATCTGTAAGAGATAAAAAGCATATTTCTCCCCTCCTGAAGGTTTTGTGAGGATTAAATGAAATAATCTATGTAAGGCATTAAGGCAGTGCCAGGCACATAGAAATGCTGGATAATGTGAGCTACCACATTATTGGCATTACTATCATTATTATTACTAATATCACAATAGAGTATCACAGAACATTGGGAACTTCCTAAATGAGGCACCTTTTAGTGAATTCATCTCTGCAGGGAATGGTGTCATAGCATGAGTATCATCTAGCCATCCACAATGACCCTTAGATTTCAACATTTCCAAAGCATTCTAATAAAGCAAGGGCACCATTTCTTCCTTGGCGATGCCAAGACAAGATTCCTTGAGTCATACTGAAGAGCCCTAGAGTGAGTGAGAAATGCTGGGGCTATTGCCACCCACTGCCACTGGCTTTGGAGCCGCCATCCCTGCAGTGACCACTCTCAGCAGATCACAGTGACTCTGAAGTGTCTCTGCAGAGGGCGTGTGCATGCGTGGGTGTATGTGTTTGTGACTCAGCTTCTGCATTGAAAAATAGCATCTGAAAATCTGAATTCCATGTCCACTGACACTTGACACTAACCTTCTTTTCCAAAGGTCTCTTATTTGTAGAAATAATATTCCTCCTTTCCTTTCACGCTGTCTCATCCTAAATAACAGTGAACGTTTGCTAAGGTCTGGCCTGGAAGAGCCGTATGGACTAGACCACAGAAGGCATCCTCCTTGGACTTCACTCAGACACACACTCCTTCCCCAAGTGACTAACAGTCATGGGCAGGACCACTCCACTTGGTCATGTGGGTGGGTGTGGGGAGGAGAGGTAGACCATGAGCTGGAGAAGAGACTTCATGGCATTAATTTTTGTACAGAGGTGGTAAATATGGGGCAGTTTCTATCACTGACACTGAACTATCTGGGCCATGGTATTTCTGGTGCCACCATGCAGCCTGAACCGATGAGCTTGCTAAGTACGATTCAAGAAGGGCAACAGCAGAGAAATAAAAGCTCAGCTTAGTGAATAATGTGGCCTGGGGTAAACTTTAATGTCCTGCCCTGACCCATTTGGGGGGCTGCAGAAAGCAGCCTCAAAGAGGCATTCTTCAACCCCAGTGGGCTGGACCGTGTGTCTCATTTGTCTCAAGAAGAGAAAGAGGGGAAGTCAAACAGATTCAGGAAGCAGCCCGCAAAGATGTAGGCAGGACTTTTCTAAAACTCCACTTATCTTTCCCTAAAGGACAATGACACTCTTGATGATGCTAGGCCATGCTAACCAACCCATGGAGGTAATATTAGGTGAAAGACTAACATAGATAGTACCCTGTTGGCCTTAGCCTGGAGAAGCTTCTAGAATCAAAGCAAAAGCTCAACATCCAGGTCCTGGGTTGCTGCAGGGACCTCAGCAGTTAGAGCTCTGTGCCTTCTCTCCAGGCAAGCACCATAAGGGCCACAGCTCTCTTTACATCTCCATCGAAGGTGCAAGGTCTCCGGAAAGCTGGTCTGACTGATTCTCCTCAGTCAAATGTCTCCATCCTTCAATGCATCAGCTACAGCCAGGAGATTAGGGAGGACTGGGAGCCAGCACAATACAGACAGAGCCACTTGACAGAATTGTCATGTCTCTGGCAGCCAGAATAACTTGTGATACTGCAACAGCCTTGGAGCGTCCCCGCCATATTGAATTCCTATCTTTCCAATGGCTCTCTCCCAAGAACAGTGCCCAGGACTGTCACCCCGATCTGGGGAAAGCCTGCATCTCTCACTTACTTGTCATTCACAAGTTTCCCATGTTGGTGAATCTGATTTTCCATCGTGAAGTTGATTGTGGCACCGTACACATGCTCACCAAAAAATACCTTCATTTTGGACTTGTATTCTTCATCTTGAAAATACCGGATCATATCAGGGAACCAAACTGTCAGTCCATAGTAGCTGTAACAGAAAAGTCAGAATATTCTAGCAGCAACACACTTTATTCTACGATCAGAGTCTACATTCTTGACTTGATGTAGATCAAGCTCCTTTGAACTGTATTAGTATGGTTCATTATTAGAAAATCTAATAATATAACTCATCATATTAATAGATCTGCAGAAAAAAGTCATGACATCTCCATAGATGCTGAAAAGGCAGTTGATAAAAAAAAATTCATTCCTGATAAAAATACCCAAAGATGGGGAATTGATGGACACTTCCTTAACATGTAAGAAAATACATATCTCAGCTCAAAAGGCAGAATCTTATCTAAAAGGGAAACACTAAAGACATTCCCACTAAAATCCAGAATGAGACCAGATACCCATTATCACCACTACTATTTATCACTATAATGTAGGTCTCAGCCAACTCAGCTAGACAGGAGAAAGAAAATAGGAATACAAAACTGCAAAGCAAGAGGTAAAACTATCTATTTGCAGATAATACAGTTTTATATCTGGAAAACTCAAGATAATGGCCATTAAACGTATAAAACACCACTCACAGTACGAAAAATGCAAATTAAAACCACACTGTTACAATTCTTGCCTACCAGATTGTCAAAAGCCCAAAGTTTGCCAAAACACTCTGTTGATGAGGCTGTAAGTAAACAGGTGCTCTCATGCATTGCTGGGAAAAGGGAAAAACTGTGCATTACCATATATAGGAGAACTGGTCAATGTCTAAAAAAAATTACTGGTAGATTTACCCCCTTTGACTCCATAATCCCATTTCTAGGAATCTATTCCACTGATAACTTACCCAGCACAAAGTAGCCTACAAACATGGTTACTCATTATAGCATCATTTGAAATAGCAGAAGTCTGAAAACTCCCCAAGAGTCTAGCCATAAGGCCCTGATTGAATAAAGCGTGGTGCTGTACTGTGGTGTGCTAGGCAGACATACTAGGCATGTCACTGCAGAGAAGAATGACAAAAATCTCAGTGTACTGGTATGAGAGACCTCCAGAATATATTGTTGAATGCAAAAAGCAGATGCAAAACAATGTGTCCCTTTGAATAAGAAAATGAGGAAGAAATAAACATGTAAGCATATATATATGTATGTGTGTGTACACGTACATATATATATGCTTAAATTTGCAAAAAGAAACACTGGAATGATGAATAGGAAAACAAAAGATAATTACAAACAGGAGGCAGAAGAGAATGGGCAGAGGGGAAAGAGGTAGATGCAAGATTTCTCTGTTTCAACATTTGAAATATATTACCTATTCCACAAAATTAATTTAGACATAAGTAAGTATAAGTAAAACATATTCAAAAACTATCAGTGAATTGAATCCCAGAGCCTACCCTCTTTGGCTTCTGGAATGTTCTCTCCTAGTTTAGACAGAACAGGTGGAGGGGAACAGCGTCCAGCTTCCTCTCTGCCTTTACCTGTTTGCGTCTCCATGAAGAGGTATTGGCAGAAATTTGGTAAGATATTGGAAGAAAGCAGGTCTCCCCACGTCCCTCCCATAATCAAAGAGGTCATTAGAGCCAACTTAATTCCCTGGGTCAAGGGACTGTGGCTTTTGGCACGGCTGGTGATAAACAAGGCAGTTTCATAGACAGAAGTTTAAAATCTCGCTCAAAGTTCCTAATTGATCATAGCAATTTATTGAGCACTTATTATGTGCCAGAAACCACTGGCAAGCACTTTACATATGCAGTAAAAGAGCCTCATAATGCTGCCAGTGGGCCCCAAAACTTACATAGAGAGAAGGGTCATGTTATTTGGAGGTGAGTGAAACGACCGGGGTGAGAGTCTGCTGTTTGAGAAAGGAGCCAGGTAATCAACAATCATAGTATATTTCATTGTCTTTACTGTAGGGCACATTATTGCAGAGTTTCACTGTTTTATCTATTTAATATTCACAGTGACACTGATGGCTGCCTACTCAGCATTCATTCCTTGCTTCTTCCTTGGGAATAGAAACTTGATTTTGCTCCAGTATCAACCTCCAGGAAAGCTAATGGTACCTTCGGCTCAGAGGCAAATCCCGATTAGTCTCAAATCACTGGGAGATCACACATTCCCTTCACCCCTGATTAGTTTGGCCCTAGGCATGTGACATACATCTGGCTAATATAACCAGGAAAGTGGGGTCTCCTGAGAAAGATTTCCTCACTGTTACAAAGGGAAGCTCAGAGAGGCAGCCGCTTCCTCCTTGGGTCATTTTCCCATGTCAACAGGATGCCAGGAGCAATGCAGGCATCTTGCAATCACACAAGAACAAGCCCGAGGCTGAAACTCCTCCCAGAACCCACCTCTCTACAGAATTCTTATTACAAAGGATAAGAAATTTCCTCATTGTAAAATCTACTACAGTGGGTTGCCTGCTACTTGCAGTCGAAAGCATGCAATCTGATACAGGCTCCATGAGTTAGAACCAATGATAATCCTCAATTTATAGAACAGGGCATGAGGCACAGAGGAATGAATGAACCTGAGTAAGACAGAACTTACCTTAAAGCCATGCTGAACCAGACCACGGCCAGAATCAGCGTGTTCATCCTGTAGGGCCCCAGCACACAGTATAGAGCATTATCCCAGACCTATAACCACACCAAAGAAAGGTTATTAAAGGAACTTGTGACTGGGCAGAGCTCACTTCCAAGATTTTCTAATAAGTTGCCTAGGAATCCATGGAGAGAATGACAGCCATTATCTCCTAGAGGCAGCAATTCTGTTCAAACAACACGGAAAGCCTCTTCTCTTCTTACTGGCTGGCCTCAACCTCTAACAGTCCTGTAGCATCTCTCCTGGAAACACAGCAATATTCCATGCTTGTGATCAAAAGCACAGAGTGGGGATTTCAAGGCACTGAATAACCTTGAGTAGTGAGTCCTGCTCCCTGCCTGTGGGGATGGGTGATACTCCAAACATTTAATGACCATACACCACGAAGGTCATCCAGTCTCAGTAGACTCTGGCCATCGGCTGCCTTGGTGCTCAACAACTGACTTGCCTGTAGGAGCCACTTCTCCAAAGAAATGGCCTTGCCCTTCATGAAGATGTTCTCAGAAATCACTGACAAACCTCAAGGGGTCGTTTCTTTCACTCCCTCCTTTCTTCCTATGGATTCTTCAAAGAAAAATTGCCAGACAGAATAATGTCTACTCAGACTTGACATTTTCTCTACATTCAAAATCTCTGCCTCGGGAAGGAAGCGCAAAGAAAAGAAAATAAGGGGCCGGCCTGGTGGCGCAGCAGTTAAGTTCACACGTTCCGCTTCCGCGGCCTGGGGTTCGCCGGTTCAGACCCTGTGTATGCACCTATGCACTGCTTGTCAAGTCATGCTGTGGCAGGCGTCCCACATATAAAGTAGAGGAAGATGGCACGAATGTTGGCTCAGGGCCAGTCTTCCTCAGCAAAAAAGAGGAGGATTGGCAGCAGATGTTAGCTCAGGGTTAATCTTCCTCAAAAAAAAGAAAAAGAAAAGAAAAGAAGATTTAGAGAGTTTGTGGCTCAAGGCACACAGCCGTGAGAAGCAGGCATGGGCTAGGATCCAAACATCCCCATCCAGGGTTGCTTCGTCTCCACCGTAACTGCCTTGGGTTGACAGGGTAGTCCAGGGTCTTTATTCTTTATCCACTGAGGTTACAGATTTCCACAGAGCCTCCCTCTCATCTACCACACGTCCCCAGTCATACCTGCTTGAAAGTGGTCTTGAACCTGACGAGCCAGCGCTGGTACCAAGTTCCTGTTGAACTTTGGATCTCAATGAATTCATCCATTTGCTTGGGAGTTTTGATGTTGGAAACCTGTAAAGCAAAGATGGGCGAGAGAATCTTAACCCACTCTGTGTCAGACTTTTTAATTTTTCGTCTAATGTCACTGACTTTACTAACTTATGGAGGGCTAGAGGAGCCTTTGGTGACCCTCTCATTCAGTGATTCTTTTTTTATTTTTTTAAAGATTGGCACCTGAGCTAACATCTGTTGCCAATCTTCTTTTTTTTCTTCTTCTCCCCATAGCCCCCCAGCACATAGTTGTATATTCTAGTTATATGTCCTTCTGGTTGTGCTGTGCGGGACACCGCCTCAGCATGGCCTGATGAGCAGTGATAGGTCCGTGCCCAGGATCCAAACCCGCAAAACCCTGGGCTGCGGAAGCGCAACACGTGAACTTAACCACTTGACCACAGGGCCGGTCCCTCGTTCAGTCATTCTTCACCAAAAACGTACACAGCATCTCCCAGGGATCTTCGTCCCACTGCAGACAAAACGAATCAGTCTCTTCACAAAATCATGCCTTTGGGAAATCAGTGGGCCATAATACACTGAATTCCCATTTATATTTGACTTGCCCACAGCAGAGCTGACTCCACCTTAACGTTCACAAGTCTATCCTTAATGGGTATTAACATCACAGAAGTCTGGATCCCATGTAGGCACCCCTTAGAGAATCTGGTACAAGCTTATCCTCCCATTCCCAGGAGCGTGGGCTCTGCAGATGCTCTTCCACCTGGGCTCAGACGGCGCCACCGCAGAGCCAACACAGCAGGCCCTGCAGAACCCCGGCTGGAGCTGGGCTTCCTGTTATCAGATACCCGGGGATTCCATGCACCCTGACTGCAGCCAGAAGAGGCCAGAGGGAAGGCTGACCCAAATCCGGAAGCACCTTAAAAACCACACTCCAAAGCAATAAACTAGCCACTCAAATGCAAATTTTTCTTTTCTTTGCTCCTAGGGAAAATAACACCCTATTCCCTAGGGATTTGGGAGTGGGTGTGTTGACAACTTCGAACATAATTACTCTAATTTACAATTAACTAGGATACTTGTCTTCAGTTCAGTCTAAATTAGAAGATGGTCTGTGTTCACCCAGCCCCGCAGAACTCTGGTTCCCAGGGGACCCTTTCCAAAGGTTTCACAGGGGACAGCTGCCACCTGGCAGTTAGGAGCTCATGAGGCAGTGAATGAGGCTGGTGACACCCAGGGCTCTGCAGGGGAGGAAAAAGTTTCCCTTGACCCTCTTAGGGTCCCTGACTGGGGCTGAAAATTCAACTGACAAAGACAGACTAACAGAAGAAAATCTTATTGAATTTTCACATGTCCATGGGAGCCGTCACAAGGGAATGAAGACTCGAAGAAGTGACCAGAGCAAGAGGCTTCTATACCCTTTAAACAAAGAAAAAACAAATTTGTGAAGAATTGACAAGACAGAGGGGTTTGGGCTAGGGGTAGTAAATGGTGAAGAAGTAACTAGGATGATAAGAGTTAGATTAACCAGGTTTGTGTACACAGCCTTCTCTGCTGATAAGAGCATCTTCTTTCCCCCCCGGTACGGGGGATGCACCTTTCACACTGGAGATTGATGACCTGTTTCAGGGAAGAAGAGCGAGCGGGAAGAGGTCAGAGTGACGTTTCTGGTTCTGCTGTTCTCTCAAACCCCTTCAGGTCCAGATATTCCATATGCCAAGGGGCCATATTCTGCAGTAGCATGTCCTGAACTCCATCAGCTGGAAGGTAAGAGCGGGGAGGGCAGCATCCGGCACTCACCATGAACCCCACCACCAATTGAGAGCCTGACCCGTCCTGAGCTCTTCCTCCAGGCTGCTGAGCACAGTTATGAGGGCAGCGCACAGGAGCAAAGCACGAAACCCCATCCAGGGGGCTGAGTGTTCACGCCTGACTACCAGCCACAGCTCGCTGAGGTCAGTCAACACTTTCCGGTTGGTCCTTTTCTTTTCTTTTTTCCTGGCCCATCCAGACATCCACTCCTACTTAGTTAATACAGTCACCAAGTCAGTATGGAATAATGAGCCTAACCTTTTTCATTCCCTTTCCCATTGAGTGAAACCCACTAAAAGCAAGGTTATGTCTGAGGACGAGGTAACTAGCATGGGTGCTGGTGTGAGACAAAACGCCCGTGTTTCATAGCCCCATGCTCGCTGACTTCTGCCTGGACTCTCTTCCTGGGGCAAGCGAGGACTCTGGTCCCAAAGAAAAAAGGCTTTGCTTTTGCCTTTGAAAATTGGAGGTTTTACTGATTTCCAGGCTAGGATTTCATCCCTCAAAATTAGGCTTTCTACGTTAGAATGGGTTGTTAACATGGGATCACTTCTCCAGAAAGGGGCTTACAGTCAGGCAAGCCCATGCAGCTGGTTGAGAAGTGGTCCTTCGAGAAGCAACATTAGGAAAACCACTATGTGTAAGGTACTGCCCTGTGGGGGGTGGGGAAGGTCGGGATGGGTTTACAGTCACCTGGGGAAGGCAGAGACACACACACAAGTGAAGTGGCGAGTAATCTATCCAGCAGGACCCCTCTTAGGAGAGCTCCAGGCGTGTTTGGAATAAATATGTTAATGAAGTGCTTGAGGTGTGGGAGAATCCCAGGGAGACGCCACTCCAACTTGAAAGACCAGGAACCTACTGTGCATGAGCCAAGCAGAAGAATTTGTTTTATTCCGGAGGGAGAAGATTAGAGAGGATGGGGAAAGGAGATGGAAATTAAAGAGGAGAAAAAGAGGAGGAGGACGCGGCAGGGAGAAAAGAAGGAGAAGGCTGTGTACTCTGTAAGTGTGTGTGTGTGTGCGTGTGTGTGTAAGTGTGTATGAGTCTGTGTCTTTGTGTGTGTGTCTGTATATATATATGTGTGTGTGTGTGTGTGTGTGTCTCTGTGCATGTGTGTCTGTGTATCTTAATATGTCTGTGTATGTGTGTGTTTCATACCAGGTTGATGTGATAGAAAATGAATCCAGCAGATGTGGATTCAGAGGCTGGGGGCAGAGGCAGAAGACAGTGAATAAGCAGGAGCTCGGAGAGCAGGCTATGGAATGGGTGGGGGGTGGAGGGCAGGACTGAGCAAGCACACCCAGATCCCAGTGGACAGGGAGCCCCTGCTAACATCTGGTACCCACACCTGCAGTCAAGCTGCAGCATTACAATCCATCACACAGAGTGATGGGGATGGGGGTTGGGAGAGCCATCTACACCCTTAACATCTTTCATTTGCAGCATTTCTGTTAATTGTGCTTCTTAATAAATGTTTGTGATAAAAGCACTGGCCCCATATTTTGGGTAATTCTAGAAGCATTGGAATTAGGGAAATATGCCATTGAGCAGCTTTCCATAAACTTTATTACTTGAGTTAATTTACGAAAACATATCACAACATTTTAGAATATTAGTTAACATCTATGCAGCCCTTACTCCAAGTTAGGCATGGTTTTAGGTTAATCTCCCTTATTAATCTTTACCATAACCATATTTAAAGACATTATTATCCCTTTTTTCCCCAATAAGAAATTGAGGCACAGAGAGTACCTCGGCTAAGGCCACACAGCTAGAAAGTGCCAAAACTGGGATTTCGATCCAGACTGTCTGGCCCCATGTTGCAAATTAGCTGCCATGTGGTCCTGCCTGAGAATCAGGGGTTTTAAGCAATGGGTTAACAAGGACAAGCATTTTACACCAGACTCAAATTATGGAAGCCAAAGACACCAAAGCAGTGAGTCAGAGTAGGTGAGTGTTAACCCAGGAAGTCTTCCTCGGGGGAAATGGATGTGAAGTTGCTCCAAAAGGAAGTTATGCAAACTGGTACGCAGAGATGCCTGCAGCGGGCATTCCTCGTCATTGGCCACAGAGCTTGATGGGCAGGAGCACCCATCCCGGTAACTAACAGGACATCTTCATGGAAATTTCCATTTACTAGTCTTTCACTTTTTAAACTAGAAAGAAACAAAATTTAGGCTAACAGCTAGGATGCTGTCAGGGTGCAGAGACATGGGTATCCTGTTGATTGTGGCACTGTAGACTGGTACAGCCCCACTGAAACATAATTTGGCAATATATCTCAAGAGCTATTAAATACTCACACTCCTTGAGCCAGTCATTTATTTTATTTCTAGGAGTCTACTCTTAAAAAAGAAACCCAGAAGGTGAAAGAGAAGGAATTATGTGCATGAGAAGGTTTGTTGCAGCAATATTTATAGGAACAAGAAAATAAATCTCTAACGTTAGGGACACGGGTTAATGTTCCTAACAGTACTGTTCATTAAAAGGATGGTTATGACCAGTAAGAGACAACATATAAAATGCTTATGAGTACTCTTAAATCACATGTATATGTAAATATGTGTACATATGCTTACCCCACATGAACACAGCTAGTTTTTCTGTTGTTTTTTAACAATTAGCAGTACCGAGAAAGATATTCATCAAAATGCAAAGGATAATTATGACACAGTAATGAGAATGTCAAGGCTTTTATTCTCCTTTTGACAAATTTTCTGTGATGTGCTTATGTAATAATTTTTAGCAAACCAAAACAGTAAAGAAGAGATGCCCCCCTCTTGCTGGCAGAGGTGACCCCTCACTCACCGTGAACACCTTCTCCGGGGCCCCCTTAGCCCTCATGTTGGTGTCATGCACTTGCTTGAGAATCATCCAGGCTTCGTCATGTTTGCCCATCTGGTAAAACCAAGGAAAGAGACATGAAAAATCCATTGCTGATTAAGGATGGGAATTCCTACAAACCCAAGGGAGAGCTGGCACCTGAGCCTGAGGCCATTAGACATGGACTCATTACTATCTAGGGCTTGTGAAAGACGAGGACAAGTTTCTGTCCCGAGTCCACCTTAGAAGGATAGTAAGATTGTGCCTTCAAGGTGTAAATGCTACATATTACCGTCACCATACATTATGAGTAACTACTCGTAGTTGTAAGGTTGAATAGATGGCTGGGTGGGAGCCATGTTCCTGACAAACGAGGTAAAGCAAAGAAGCAACATGCTATGGATTGAATGGCGTCCCCAGCAAAAAAGATATGTTGAAGTCCTAACCCCCAGTACCTCGGAACGTGACCTTATTTGGAAATAGCATTGCTACAGATGTAATTAATTGTGTTAAGCTGAGGTCCTACTGGAGGAGGGGGGGGGGTCCCTAATCCAATATGACTCATGACCTTGTAAGAAGACGGCCATGTGAAGTTGCAGAGACACACAGGGAGAACGCATGTGGTGACAAAGGCAGGGACTGGAGTGATGCAGCTGCGAGCCAAGGAACGCCAAAAATTGAGGGCAAACCACCAGAAGCTCCAAGAGCAAGGAAGGAGTCCCCTACAGGCTTTCGGGGGCACGTGGCCTTGCTGACACCTTGATTTGGGACTTGTAACCTCCAGAACTGTGAGCCAATAAATTTCTGTTACTCTAAGCCACTCTGTTTGTGGTCTTTTGTTACAGCAGCCTGGGGAAACTGATCTGCAATAAAGGGTAACTTCCGAGATGCCACTGGTTAAAAAAACTCCCTGCTGCATCTGGCCCCAGGAGGGCACCCCACACCTCCACCCAGCCTTGGGGAACAGTCCTGCTGCTGGGTGCTCAGTGAGCTCCTGAGCCCCTCCAGCTCTGAGAGTCCATCCAGGGCATGCAACCATCACAGAGAGCAATGGAGCCCGATTTATAGACGGGCCAGGTCGGCCAACATGGGGGGGTTTGCAACATGCAAGCAGGAGAGGAGGCAAGACTCAGGGGCTGAGAAAGCAGCACTAGCTCCTGTCTCAGTGCCATCACTCTCCCAGGGCAATGTAGGGGGAGGGGGGCTGACTCACCTCTAGCAGAAACCTTGGGCTCTCTGGCATGAACCTCAGGGCCACCATGGACACAGTGCAGGGCAGAGCGCAGACGATGACAAACACTCTCCAGCTGTGGAAGTGGTAATTGGTGCCCATGCTGAAGCCCCATCCTGTGAGGAAGCAGGCAGAGGATTTCAGACACGTGGTCTTAGAGTGACATTAAAGATATTGGCTCAAGGGGCCAACCCAGAGGTGTAGTGGTTAAGTTCAGCACACACCACTTTGGCAGCCTGGATTTACGGGTTTGGATCCCAAGTGCAGACCTACACCACTCATCCAGCCATGCTGTGGTGGCAACCCACATACCAAATAGAGGAAGACTGCCACAGATGTTAGCTCAGGGCCAATCTTCCTCACAAAAAAAGGGGGATGGGGAGACACTGGCTACTGGCTCTCAAACTATAGGGCACAAGAGCAACCCCTGGGGCACAGGTTAACAAGCAGACTCCCCAGCTGTGCCCCCAAAGCTTCTGATTCCAAAGTCAAGGATAGGTGCTGGGAATCTGCATTTTAACAACCCCTAGATAGGCCTGGACTGACATTTATAGGGACTTGGGTAGGAGTACAGATAGAGGCAACACACCATATTTCTATATATTCATTAAAATCTACATTAACAAGCTGTTACATAAGAGATGTTCTATCCTTCTGCCTTGACAAATAAGAAGCTGGAAGGCCAGGCCCAGAATTACACAGAACCCACCCTGGCAGGACCCCCTTCTTTTCCCTCGCCCCGCCCTTCCTGCAGAGTGAGGGGCCTCATGTGACAGGTGTGGACACACACTCACACCACCATGGTGAGAATGGGTGTCCTTGTCTGATCCCTTGAATTTAATGGGAATTCCTGGGTCCTGAGCACCGAGAGGGTGATCTGGATGAAGCGGGGGGTCATGATCTCGGGGATCCCTTGCCTCATGGGAAGGGGTGTGGCTGGAGGAGAGCAAAGCAGGGCCTTATATGACCCAGGGTTTCAATCAGAGATCCCTCTTCCCCAGGTCAAAGGGTAATACCAGCTCCAGGTGACTCCAATGCACAGGGTTCAGGAGCACACTTTGAAAAACACTGTCAGTCATAGTATGAATTTTTTTCAATTTAAAAGAATTGAACTTCTATATTTAAATGATTTCTACCATCATTGAAACGGGGAGGTGACCAGCTCCTACTCAGCTGTCGTTATTCAAAGCATTCCTAAGATTCATTTTCAGAAACTGCCTTCAGGATCTACAAAACATTATCCTGAATAGCCTCATGGGGAGCAAATTTTCCTCTTCTGAGGAACATTACACAGTGGAAAAAGGCTGGACTTTTGTAAATCCTGGCTTTCTCACACCGTTATTGTGTCGGTGTGTTTTCACAGCTGTAGACTGCAGGTCATGATACCTCCACAGATTTGCTATGTGGGAAAGCTCCCAGCAACCAATAATAATTCACCAGCTTTGAGGGTAGATTTGACTTTTTTAGAAAAGCTACATGACATTTAGTGCCAGAGATTTTGAGTAAAATAGATGAATATCGGTAAAGGTCAGCAAAAGAATTGTGTCTGTGTTTTTTAAAAAAAAGCCAAGGTTATAAAATAAAGAGACTAATCTTCTCATGCCGCTCCATCTCTGAAGACAATTCCACAAGTATTTGTTAAAAAGACAAAAGCATATAAATAAACATTGATTTTCTAAAGTTCAGACAGTGGTTATTATTTGGATGCAAAATCTCTATTCCATTTACTTAAAAATATACCATATGGCCAACTCCGGAGGGGAGCAGTTTATGTCCTGAATTCTCCATTACTCCCCATCGCGGTTCAATTTATTCTACGTGCAGTGAAGGCCTAACCAATATCTGCTTTTTCTGCAGCTATTTCTTACTCGATTTGCACAATGGAAGGACTAGCCACAGGGAATCCCAGGTGGAAAAATGTGGGACTGTGGTTGCTTTGACACATTGGCCACAGGACACAACCCACATGTCACCCAACGTTCTCCATCAGACTCAAATCTCTTTTTGCACAGCATGGTGCCTCCTGCTTCCCATGTCACTGGGGTCTGTTTGTTCATTTAATTTTAACTAAAAAGCCTTTCCTTTCTCCTGGGAGTGACACTAGAATGAGGAAGATAAAAGTATAGTAATATTTACACATTCTCAGCTCATATCCAAAAGCTATTGTGGCGTAATTAGAAGTGAAGTTGATCACAGCTACATAACAAACTCCTGTGGTCACAAGGGAAAAGGGGCAGAAGTAGGTATTTTTATAATATATTCTGCCTCAGAAAGATTTTTGCCTTTATGATAATACATATAAATTATCCAAAATCCATTTTCTCTCATGCCTCTACGGGTTTTATGGTGATTTTAGTAATCTGCGCTTATCACATCCATTAGGCACATCTTTGGGGCCTTAAATTAAATAAAACTAAACAGCGAAGTGCTTCCAAATATATGGAGCGACTATTAATTTGGAGACAGGGATTGTTCTGTTCACTGATCTTTTAGCTCGCCCTGCTTTTCTCCATGAGGATTTCACAAACAACTGGTGGAGCTGACTACAATGGGAATTAATCTTCCATAATATATCCATTTTTTCTGGGCCGTGCCCATGAATTCCCAGGAAAACATTCTGAGTTTTGTAATTTTCTCTCTCAATGACTCAGTCTCCCAAATTCCTGGCGCCAAGACCTCCCATCACTTCATTCCTGCAAAAGCAATTAAATGGGTTGCGCAAGCCTCCCATCACATCCATCTCCTTTCTGTAGTTACCCTTGCATTTGTCTCTGCTGGGCGGAGGGGGTGTTAGAGGATTAACATCTTAGGCATGTTGAGAAATATTGTCAAATGTCTGGTTCACTGTGGACAAAACATCTGATTCTGGTAAAATAAGGCTTAAAATAAATAATCACTCCTGTTATACTGTGATGCTGGTCTACCATATTTCTAGGATGGGTTTCCCCCAAGCTGATGACTGTTTCAATGAAGGCCAGTCTTCCCAGAGGCCTGTATTTTAAAATGGAATGTAAAAGTCACAGATTTGATACAGGCATACAAATACGAAGAAAGCCTGCCCACTTGAGGTAAAATTTTTAACCACAAGCCCTTCTGTCAGCCAGCAGAGGTCAGCCAGCAGCCATGTGGTGCCTCTGCCACGGGCATCCCATTCGGTCTTGGTCAACATGCTCCCAATCTGAATTCTTTAGTTCCTTTCTTGGAAACCAGACATCCAGACGTTGGTGTGTGTCTGTGTGTGTAAAGTGAAGTGAAAAAATTATGCAGTTTGTAGCAACTATTGTGGGTTGCTCCCCTCACAACATCCCTCCCATCCTTGCTTCTCCACAGTGTTGCAAACATGTGGTTTGGGTACCAGGGATGCAGAAAGAAGTACATCGAAACCATTCGGGCTTTGGATCCTCTGGGGTATAGTGATTGGCTGAGGTGGGCACATGACCTAAGCTGATCCAATCAGAGGGAAGCTAAAGACCTTTGCTCATTGGTCAGGTGTGAGGCGTGCTTCCCTCATGGAATAAGCAGTCTACAAACAGAAGGTCTAGCATTAATAATGCTGCCAGAAGGGAAGCTAGCCTGAGTACTAGAATCATCTCAAAAATTTTCTCGTCATTTCTCTTTGCATCCCAAGAACTGCTGAATGTTAGGCTGGCACAGATCTCTACAGTCCATTCTCTTTGCTCCCTTCCTCGCTCCATCTTACAGGTGAAGGAACCAAGGCTGGACAAAATGGAGTGATTTGTCCTAGATCACACAGCACCACTATTCTGACTCAGCTTTTAGTCTGATTTTATTTGTCTCCCTCCCCAAAAAGGTTTTTTACTCACTTAACTCAAATGTGGAAATAATGTCTTAGTGTTCACCCATTTGGATCAGTTAACAGGGGAAATGATACTATAGCAAGTATTGTGAGGAAAAAAAGGCAATTCCTCAGACTCATATAATCAACAGCATAGCATATGGATAATTAAAGTGTGTGTTTGGGTGAAGGGTAGAGGGCAGAGCCTGAAACTAGGAGTAAGACAATTTTGTATCTAAAATTATGGAGAACCACTTTTGGTGACAGAATTATCTAGAAAACTCTTCAACTCTTTATTTCATGATCCATGTTCAGATTTCTTCTGTTTCTGCTACAAAATCCAGTGGGTTCTCAAATACTAGATATGGCAAAGATTCCATGATGTTCCCAAAGCCATTTCCTCTACTTTCTGGGCACATAACTAGATTATGTTTCCAAGCATCCTTTGCAGGAGGGTGTAATCATATTACAGATTTGGGGCCAATGGGATGTGAGCAGAGAGGATATGCTCCACTTCCTAGCCTGTCCTTCAAAACCACCCACACACAACTGCTCACGCTCTTTCCCCACCCTGGAGACCTCCAAGCCACTCGCTGAAGATGGCAGAATCACATGCTGGAAGGGAGACCCCAGAAACTCCTGACGGAGCAGAGCCCCCTGCAGATCAGAAACATCAGCCAGACTTTACAGGAGGCACTCCTGTGCCTCTACTGTGTCAAACCATTGAGATTTCAGGGTTTATCAGGTTATCAGGGTAATGCACCTAGCATCTTCTCAACTAATACAGTAGACAATGTCTACACCCAAGCGTCTTCTTAAAAAGATATATATGGAGCATCCATTAGCTCAGAACACACAGAGAGGGTCGGATTTAAAACAAGGACACCAAGGAGGTGAATGGGTAGAGAAGTGTTGGTTAGCTGCAGGGGCCGTTGTCTGCTCCTCCCATCTGTCTGCAGAATTCTAAATGATGGCAAAGCCTACACCCATAACTGGTGGTTCATGGAAAATGGTTTTGAAGGATGGAGATGGCATTGCCCAGGATACTCAAAAGGCACAATCGAATTCAAGACTGCTGCCTTCTCCCTAATTTACTCTTGACAAAACCAATTGTGAAAGTTAATGTTGCCAGATCTCTGTCCAGAGAATCCAGTTTTTGCAATTATCCAGGATAATAAAATTGCCCCGGCTGAAACCAAGACCTTGTAAGGGCTGTTTCCCTTCTGCAGCCAAACGAGAGTGAGGGCAGGCACCAGAGTGGACTGCCACACAGGGGTAGGGGTTGGGCACCAGGATTCAAGGTCACGCCAGGGGCATGACCTTAGCCATGTCACCAACTTCTCTTGGGTTCTGTTACATCCACTATAAACTGGGGTACCAGAGCTTAACTTACCCAGGGGAGGAAGGCTGGAGGAGATGAAGGTTGCAATGCTTTCAAATGAAAGGAAGGAAAGAAGAAAGAAAAGAAGAGAGGGAGAGAGAGAGGACAGACTGTATTATTTCCAGAAAGACATGTGTATCGAAACCATCAATGTGTCTCTAGTGTTGGAAGTTCTTTAGAAAGACCAGGATCATACACAGAAAATGTGTGTGAGTATGAGGAATGAGACTGTGGATAGGAAATGTTGTTCAGATGCAGCTGCCATAGAAACAGGGGCCGCTGGGCTTCTTTAAGCCAGTGCACTCACCGTAGTGTGGAATGATGCTCCAGGCCATGGCAGATGCATAGATGCCCCCAGTCATCCAGAAGATGCCCAACCAACTGAGGTGCTCTCCTCTCTTCTCCCGAGACAAGAATTCAGAAAAATAGGTAAACACAATGGGCAGAGCACCCCCAATACTGCAGAGAGAAAATGCCAAAAAGAAAAAAAGCAAGTCATACACTAAAAATGGTCATAGCAGAAACCAAGTTGCCTTATAGCCCAGTCTTAGGCTCTGTGGTAAAACAACTCAGTGAATTTGAAAGACCAGCCAACAAGGTGTTGGGTTATTTTCACCATATACACTGACTTTGCAACCTAACCCCTTTCTAAGCTTCAACTTTAATACAGTATCTTGGAAGTCAAACAAAATACCCAGTCCAAGGTTTTCTGGAGGACCACTCAGAGCAAGAGTACCAGAACGGATGGACCATTGGTCTGGGAGGGTCCAGCTGAGGCTTTGCAATTACTTACCCTATGCCTGAGATGAGTCGGCAGAAGAGGAAGGCGCCATATCCTTGCACGAAAGAGGAGAGGGAAGCGAAGGAGGCGTTGACAGCCAGCGACATGCTGAGGACTCTCTTCCTCCCCAGCTTATCGGCCAGGCCCCCCAGGACGAAGGCCCCTGCCATCATTCCTAGGTAGACTATGAGCCCTTTGAAGAGAAGAGAGAAAGGGGAGAGGGAGGAGAGAGTAGACAGACATTAGAGACCATGTGATGTTTTAGAAAATTCAACGTCTATTTTTATGCATCCTGGAAATTCCGTGTCACAGCCATAAAGGGTGGAATGTAACAGATGTCGGTGGCAAATTAGAAGTGCTATCCAAATGTGACATCTTAGAAATGCTATTCAAAAAAAATAGACTCACCAGGTTTACACATATGTACACGTACTGAAATAGATCAACCACGAGCGGGATGATGTACTTTTCTTAAAGACTCCTCTTAGATGCAGAATCCACAGAGGAGGGTAATGCTGTCATTTTATTGTTAAGCAAAAAAAAAAAGTGTCCTTACCTGCAGGGTTGTGTTTAAAGAGAAAAATTTCAGGGAAAACCATAGCAAAGCAGGTATGAGGAACATTAGGAGGGGCGAAAATGGTGCAAGTGAAAAACAACAAGATTGCAATCAAGATCAGCTATTATAAAAAATACCCAAGAAGGACCTTTACAAGCTACAGCCAGTGTTCATGTTTCTTAGTGGAATGTGGAAGAGAGTAGCAACGAGCTGCCCTTTCTTGAACACATGTAACTACTGCTTGCCTTATGATAAAATTAGTTAATTTGAGATATCATATAAATACATTGTTGTAGACACGTTTATGGTGTTCCAGTGAAAACCAGCATCCTCACAGAGGTGGCAAATCTCCAGAAGCATATGGATAATTCTTTCCTGTTAAATATTGAGTGCTTACCCATTATCAATGACCATGCTAAGTACCTACATTATTTTAATAGATCTTTACTAAGCCCATGAAGGAAATTTCTCAGAATGTCTTTCATGCAGAGAAAATATTGAATACAAATTATATCTAAGTATCCTTTTGCCCAGCCTCGACTGTAAATCAAACAATGAACACAAATCCTCTTTCACAGAAAGGAAGCTTCTCCTGGACCTGCAGATGCTTTATTTATGCAGATATGTGCTGAGAAGGTTCGACCTAGCGCAGAGCTTCAATTTGCTGGTTGATCCAACTGAAGGTAGGTTCCCAAAAAGAGAAATTTGACTACGCTCTGCTTTATCTTCTTCTGTGACAGACTTCCTTCTTTTATTGTTTTATCCTCTGAAAAGAAATAACTTTGGTATCATGAATGGTTTTCACTAAATAGGATTTTCCTCGCTCACCTGCATTGTAACTTTTAATCTCTATTTAGCTCACAGTCACGAAATATGTTATTTCTCTTTTCTTTTCCCTATATGATGTCACTTCATGAAACAAGCCTATGAGTCTGCAAGTATTTACGAAATGTCTGTTATTAGGTAAGCGGTGTTTTCATTACTGGGGACACAGCAGGATACAAACACATGAAAATCTCTGCCTTTGAGGAGCTTACATGTTAGATGGGGAAAAGAGATAATAAACAAATAAGTGAGTACAACATATAGTACCTGGGTTACTGATAAGAGTTATAGAGAAAAGCACTGCAGAGGAGGGGAATAGCGAGAGCCAGGGTGGAAGGTAGATGGCAATTTTAAATAAGGTGGTTCAGGAAGCCCCCACCAAGATGCGAAATTTGGACAAAGACTCAAAGGGAGCCAAACATGGGGCTCTCTAGGGGACATTGCTGAACCCATGCTCCTGGACCTGAGGTTTCTCCAAAAATTGGAAGATGCCCAGAGAAGTGATGGAGAGAGGTCTTCCCATTCTATTTAAACAGTTTCCCAGCTCACAGCTCAGAAAATGTAGTAAGCAATTTCCCACAATTTTAAGTCACTGACACTTGTGTTTGAGAAAATGAGTCAAGACTTGCAAATCCAACTCACGCATGCGTCATACTGTATTGTAATAATGTGTGGGTCAGTGTTCCCTACTAGACTATGAGTTTATCTGCCTGAATCAGCCCTGATCAACCAAGCGTTTCCAACATCTGCTTCCCTGCAGACTTAGTCTTTCCCAGGTCTGAGCCATTGAGTGTTATGTCTAGCAGGACCACCTTACTCACTGATGAGAGTATCTTAAAGCCATCTTCTGTCGCCATGATCCAGCTCCATGAAAAATGAACCATGACTCATCTCCACCAAGAAAATCTGAGTGAGCCTCAGGCTGCAGCCTCCCCACTACTCTCACCTGGTGATACTATGCTGCCTGACTGGCTTTGTCCTGAGATCCTGGTCCCCATGCTAGTTTCCTACCATCATCTGATGCTCCAACCAATTGGAAAAGTCCTCTGCCCATGCCCAACCAGGTCCTCCCCAGGAAAGAACTGGGCTCTGCTTCCTCTGATTTAGACAATATCTGAGATAGCCACATCTGAAATAACCTGCTCTTCCTCTCCGACCTCAAGATAGACCCCTGGGATATCATCACCAGCCCAACTCACAGTACATCATTCCTCGTACTTGGTAATTTAAACTTCTAGACCAGAGCAGGAAGAGAATTTTTTTCCAAGTTAGGTCTGTTCAGCTTTCAACCGTTCTTGGCCTCAGCTTCCAAGAATTTGCCAAGAATTTCCAATATCCCATGACACCTGGTCAATAAACATCTGGAATAAAGAAACAGACGTTGAAAGGAAGGAAGAGAGGGAGAGAGGGAAAGAGGGAGAGAGTCCTGCCCAAACTGTAGATCCATGAGCAAAGTAAATGCTATGGTTGCTTTAAGCCACTGAGTTATACAGCAATAGATAACTGCACAGTAAGTGCCTAACAACCTTAAGGAGCCTAATATATCACATAATAGCAGTAAAATAGCAAACATAGAGTGAGCATTTACCCACTAGACAGACTCCTTGTCAAGCATTTCACAGGCATTGCTGACCCCATTTAATGCTTGCAACAACCCATTGAAGTAGATACTATTATTATCCCTGTTTTATACAGGGAACTTGATTCACAGAGATGTAAAGAAGCTCCCCAAGGTCATACAACTAGTGGAGGTACCAAGACTTTGAGTGAGTAGTTCTGACTTCAGAGGTGATGCTTTAACAACTACACTTACTGCTCTTTATAGATAACCATTGCTCAGACTTCTTAGCTCTGTCTTAGTTCATTCTTTCATCATTTGCTCATCCCCAGGACTGCTTGCTAAGTGGAGCATGGTTCCTTCCATTCAAGGAGATAAACAATAAAGTCTGTGATTATCTCCCGGTGAGAAAAAGAGCTCCAATACAGGCCTATGACAGGTATTGTAGAAACACGGAGAAGGCGCGCAGCTTGGACACACCTCCCTCCATGTGGGAAGGCTCCAAGAGAAAAGCATTGAGCTGTTGTTGAAGAACAAACAGAAGTTAGTCAGGTCTCCATCTCTGTGATGGGGGGAGTGTATCACAGGCAGAGGCAGACGGCATGTGCAAAGACAGAGAGCCAAAAAGGATGCCCGATGTGTTTGGGCAACTACCTGCAAGTAGTTCAGTGTGAGGAGAGCATGGTGGGAAACCTGGTGAGGGATTCGGGCTGGAAGGCAGGACAGAGGCCAGATCAGAAATGGCTCATAGGGTGTGTGTGCGTGTGCGTGAGAGAGAGAGTATGCATGCATATGTATGAGTACATGCACGTGTGGTTATGTGTGTCGGGGGTGGGGTATTTGCATGCATGTGTGTGGCCCTATAAATTGGGAGTAAGGGAAGAGGGGAAATAGAGGAATGGTCAGGAGATTTACCAAGAACCAATATTTTACACCCTATACCCTGGCCCCACGCTAGAGGAAAACACTAGCACCAGATAAGTTCATTTATTTATTTTTTCACTTCAATAAAGCCATTTTCAGCACTTCTCAAATTTCACTGTACACACAAATCATGAAGCTATCTTGCTAAAATCAGATTCTGATTTTCCAATCCGGTAGGTCAGGAGTAAGGCTTAAGATTCTGCATTTCTAACACGACTGGTGCTGCTGGTCCACAGACCACACTTTGAGCAGTGAGAGGCTGGAGCACACCCATCTGCCTGGAAACATGGTGAGGGCTAGTGGCGAGAATCCTGGCCTTGGAACCCAAAGATCCCATTCACCAGCTGGGTGATTTGGAGGAAAAGCCTCTCCCCCTCCCAGGGCCTTACCACCATGTTGGTAAACTGATTACTGTGCTGGCTAGTCTCCAAGCTGCCTTCCCATTTATTTGCTTTTTAAAAATATAAATCATGAAAGATGAAGTTCTGTGGATTCCCCAAGAAGAAGACATTCAGATTAACAAAATAAGCCCAGACACAAAGTTCTGATTAAACTATTGCAAGAGCCACACAAGACATGTCTGTGGACCATATGTGGCCATAAGTGGCTTCTAGGCCACCGGTTTGCAATCTTAGCAATGAACATGGTGCAGGCTATTAAGCTATTGTGTCTCAGCTCTGAAGCCACCCATCTAGTCCTCAGTTCGTCCACAAACCACATGTGTGCTTTGCTGGTGGCTCCCTGCCAGGCCCTGCCAACACAGGGCACTGGAGAGAGACTTAAAGGCTGGAGAAGGAAGAAAGGACCCGTGCTTTCTATTCCTGTAAGGTCTACCCGAGCAATACTTCCTCACCTGGTAGCAGCAGTGCCTGTCCACAGAGCAGCTGGATCCAATCAGAAGAACCAGCCACATCCTGCCCCTCCCTCCTGTCCCACACCAGCACCAGCCAGCCAGGGCCCCCTCTCCAGAGATCTGAGTTGTAGCTCCATGGGGCCCCTTCTCTGAGCTCCTAAATTATAATAATTCCAATCTCTTCCCTTTATTCCCCAGTCCTAGGCGTGGCAGCTGTTCCCTGCATTCATGACCTCAGTATGCTTTTTAAAAACATTTCACTCATCCAGTTAATAATTTCTATATTAAATTCTCTCTGTTCCAATATCTGGTATGATTTCTGTCTCCTGACTACACCCTGACCAATCCAGACACAGAGGCAGACTGATGAATCTTAGAGCTTAAAGCCTGAATCCAGCCACTTCGCTTTACTAGACCAGGAGGTTGAGCCCCAGAGAAGGTCAGCGACTCTCCAGGAACCTCTCTGCTGGCCCAGGA